TTTATATTACTGTTTTTTGAGCAGTAATACCAACACCTTGACTTCCATTGTTAAAAAGGAAATTAGAATTTACAATTAATATTTTTGATTTAAGATAAATTTATGAAGAAAAAACTAGACATCCAAATTGTTTTATTGAATTAAAAAAACAATTGAAATTCTAAAATTAAATCTATCTAAAATCAAAAATTTCAACAGAAAAGAGCCCCTTAATGAACTATGAACAATAATTATGTTCTAATGTGATATCTTTAAAATAAAACCTATTTTGATTAGATATACTATTAAAATACATTAGAGAGCTTTCTAAATTATTATTTTATTAAAGAGTATTAACAATTAAATAAAAATAATCTTTCGAAATATTTTCAGATTATTATTAAATAATTTTGCTTCCTTGAATATCATATGTTCTTTATAAATAATCTGAAAAAGATTTTACATCATTTTTGTAAAGCAAAGTATTTTTTATTACTAAATGTTCTATGTGAATCATAGATTTAATCTACTAGACTTACGTTACTTAAATTAAATTGAATGAATATAACATTTAGATTTAATCTACTATCACATTATAAAGTTATAATTTAGGTAAATTTTTAAATTAAAAAATAGAATTAATAACAATTCCTTCTATAAAAAAATTTTGTATATATATATAATTAGTTTTAATGAAAAATATATTATTTAAAATAAAATATTAAGGATCAGGATAAAATTTTTTTAATTAATGCTTAGTATGGAATAAGAACCTTTAATAAGTTTATTTAGCATAGTTATTTTGCATAATATTATATTAATAATAAATCTCAATTAAATTGACGGAACTATTTTAATTAAAATGGTTAAAATCAAAAAGAGAAATATAAAGATAGTGATTAGATGTGAGTTTAATTTTATATTCAAATATGAATATTTAAATGAAAAATTATTACTTTTAAACTTGGATCAAGTAAGTCTCTAAAATTTAATCAATAAAAAAATAAATACCTCATAATATTATTTGGATGCAAATGATTTTTTATAGATTATCATGACCTAAACGACTAAATTCATTTAAGAAGTGCCTGTTCATCAATAAAAATTAATAATAGTAAGGGTTCAAATAAAAATAATAAGTATTTAGGCTAATAAAAATTTCCTTATATATTATTATTTATTAAATTAAATTCAAAATAAGCATATTAAAATACACATTAAATATATAAAAGAAGTTGTATTGTAAAAAGTTCTTTAACTTTTTATATATGCCTTCCGAAATTAAATATTTTTCATTCAACTCATTTCGTTTCATCTTAATACTGAATTATCTTACTGACTCTAAAATTTAAATCCCGCCTTTTTATGATAAATCAATAGCCATAATCAGGATATTAGAATTCACATTTGAGTTGGATTATTTATCTAAAATTCAATGAAAGACCTTCTTTTTTTTGGTAAAATGGATAACAAATACTTTATTTATAAACTTAAAAAATTATTAAGTATTTTTTGATATTCCACTAAATTCTTTTGAACAATATTAATTTCAATAGCCCAAGTTCTCCATAATCTTATATCAATATTCAATATGTTTAGGAAACACTCTTTATTTATTTGACGAAAATAATATTTTTAGAATTCTACATACAATAATTTGACAATATATAATTTCCCTGGTCTTTAGATGAATAAATATTAAATTTAATAAATGTTTTATTTATTGATAAACTTAATTTAGTTGGCTAATTCAGAATGGCAACTAATATACAGTGACTTTTATGAAGAAAAAATAGTAACAAATTTAAATTGGAAATCGTTAGAAAGTTGCTCAATTTTAAGTTCATAATCAACATCAACTAGATAATGTATGAAAAATAGCTTAGAGTTTATAAGATTGAATGAAATTATAAGAGGAGTTGAAAAAGAATTTTATTATCCTCACTATTAAATTCGAATAATCACAGATGTCATATATATTTATGCAAAATCGGGAGTTAATACTGTATTTTAAATACAATTAATTGATTTTTCAGGATTGTTAGTGATTTTTTAAAGACTTTATTAAGAAAATATTTTATAAAAATACGATAAAGTTTGTTAGTTTGATTGTGGGCCAGGTTGTAATAGTATAGATAAGACTAGAATGGAAATCAAGACGCAAATTATTGATGCAATAAACCATTAAATTCCGAGCTTTAAAATTACTTATTGTTTTTAACCTCAAGATAATTTAATGCGCCTTGGTTTAAGAAACATTTTAATTTATGCTAATTCATGCCATATATCATGTGCTTCATGCAATGGAAGCACAAAATCTGATTGCCTAACTTGTTACTAAGGATCACCATAAGGAGGTATTTGTGTTTGTGATGAATCAAATAAATTTACACATAAATTGATTGGTTGCGTATAAGAATGTCCGAGGGATTATTATCTAGCAGATAACTTAAATTACTGTTAATTTAACCCAAGTATTTTAATTATTTATATTAGGAATTAAATCAATGTATAATTACTTTACTTAATCCACATTTAGTAATGGAAATTAAATACCATATGAGCCATGGATATATTATCCTGATCCATTTCATATTAGTAATTCAAATAATATATTTGTTTGCTCCGGGCAGGATTAAGTTGGAAAATTTAGTTATTCTTAATCTATGCAATTGAGATTGCCAGAAAATTAAGGTCTTGCCTTTTTAAGAATCAGAGTATCCTTTTACTTTTTTGGATGGTAGTCAGATTCTGTGTTAAAAATAACAGTAGATTAATATTCTTAAATGAGAATAGAGAAAACTCTGAGCAATTACACCATATTCAATGGAAGGCTAAATAAATTTGATAGCTTAAGTTGTTCATCTAACAATTATGATTTTTTGAGAATTGAAGCAGTTTTAAAAACCTATACAGCAACTCCAATTATTTAATTTTAGGCTATTTAAAAGCTTGATAGTGAATTTTGGAGTTTTAATAATGTGACCATTGATTATGGGTTATGTTAAAGTAATTGTACAAAATGTGAAACTTATTCTAAATGCTTAATTTGCGAATCAAATTTTAAATTATATAGGGGAATGTGTGTGGAATCATGTCCTATGCACTCATAATTAAATAATGATAATTGCTTGGATTATGAAGACCTTATAAATAGTAAAATATTCTTAATATATTAGATAGTAGATATTTAATAAAAGCATTTTATGATATGAACACTACTTTTGAAGAAGTTACTAAGGTTGTTGATAATTTCACACATTTAAATGACAATATTTAAACATCATTTACAGGAGCAATTTATTCTTTTGTTCCTGAAAAATCAGTTTTAGGGGGAGTTTTAGTATGGAGACAAGGAAAATTTAAAAAAACATTTCAAAATCTACAACCACACTATAAAGTGAGCATTAGAATGAATATTACATATGGAGATGAAAATAATGGTTGGTTTAAATATGAACTAGATTCATATTAATCTAATTAAATTGATAATCCAAAAACAGGAAATATTAACTTAGTTGGAGACAATTAAAAAGAGACAACTGTTTTTGTAGAATATTAATATTCTCATAATTAAAATTAATTAGATATTGTATTATCAGCTGATACTGAAAAATCGTCACTGGAAGATGCATTTATATATGTTTCAGAATATTTTGTAATAGTTCATTATGTATGAATTATAAATATGTCTAGTGTGTACCTTTTTGTACTTCATGCACAGGCCCAACAATATCAGATTGTAGTATTTATACTGGTTATAATTAAACACATTATTGTAGTTCAAATATGTACCTCAAGTTTGATAGTGATACTTAAATTCACACTTGCGCAGAATGTGATTAATTAGGGTGTCTTGAATGTTAAAGTGAATTAGTTTGTTCAAGATGTGAATTCTCAGATAGAATATAATTCTTATTGGATTAAGGTTAGTGTATATGTTATCCATCTTAATATTTATCAAATGATTAATGTATAAGTAATAATTTATTAAATATTAAAGAATGCAACCAATATTGTGAAAGTTGTTTTGGGTAAAATTATGATTAATGTTATTCTTGTAATTCAGATTTCCATAGAGCTATAAAGGAATTTAAATGTTAATGTTTAGATGGGTTTTATGATGATGGGTATAATCTAGAGTGCATTCCAATATGTGGAGACTAAAAGATTGTAGATGGTGAAGATTGTGATGATGGTAATAGCAATCCATTTGATGGGTGCGATTTATGTAGATATTAATGTTAAGATGCATGTTTGAATTGTCTTAATGGTAAATGTTATTAATGTAAACATGGATATACTTATCATTAAACTACTTACTAATGTTTAACAACATGTGGAGATTAGATTATTTAAGGAAATGAATAATGTGATGATGCCAATAATGATGTTTAAGATGGATGTTATTTATGTAATTTATAATGCGATGTTCATTGCATCAATTGTTAAAATGGCCATTGTTTTAAATGTGATGAACTTAATGGATGGTATTTTGATGGTTCCAATAATTGTCATAATATTTGTGGAGATGGAATTATTACTAAAGATTAAGAGTAATGTGATGATAATAATTAGAATCCATTTGATTTATGCAATAATTGTCTATTAGGATGTTCAGATCATTGTATTATTTGTGAGAATGGTCTATGTTTATAATGTGAAGTAGGATTTAAATTTTTACATTAAACTTAATAATGTTTACCTATTTGTGGGGATTCTATCATAGTTGGCTATGAATAATGTGAAGATGAATATTCATAAATCATTAATTCATGTCACCAATGTAAATTAAAATGCAATAGTAAATGTTTGATTTGTGAATATCATATATGTCTCTAATGTGAATTTGGATATTTATTAAGAAACAATATGTGTGAACAACATTGTGGAGATGGTATAAAAGTAGGTGATGAGGAATGTGAAAACAAATAAATTTCTTAATAATTAGTCTCTTTAGGATGTTTAAATTGTAAATAAGATTGTGGAAGTGGATGTATAATCTGTACTAAAGGAATTTGTGAACTTTGTAAATCAGGATACATTAGACTATAATATGAATGTAAACCTATTTGTGGAGATATGATTATTGTTGATCCAGAAGTATGCGAAGATGCTAATATGGAACCATATGATGGATGTCATCTTTGCTAGTATTCTTGTGTCCCTTAATGTTTAATATGTTAATTAGGAGTATGCCTTGAAATGTAATAACCAAATATTGTTGATATTAATCCTAATGAAACTGTATTTGCTTGCTCTGATTATTGTCTTTAATGTTAAAATTAGAATATTTGCATTTAATGTGATTAATATTTTCAATTAAGTAATTCCTATTGTGTTCCTATATGTGGAGATGGTTTCATAATTACTGGTCTTGAACAATGTGAAGATGGCAATGATATACAATTTGATGGTTGCTATTAATGTTAATTTTAATGCTCATATGGATGTATTGAATGCGAATAATTAAATAAATGTATAAAATGTGAAGACCATTTATTCAGATTAGATATATAAACTAATCAATGTGTTATTAATGCCAATTAAAATGATATTGATGTGTTGTAAAGTACAATTACATCAAATTATTAATTAAATTAAGCTAAATGTGATCAAAATTACATATTAATTAATAATATTTGTATTAATTAATGTGGAAATGGACAATTAAATCCTGACTTTGAGGAATGTGATGATAATAATTATTAAGGAGGTGATGGATGTTCACAAAATTGTATTATTGAAGATTCATATCAATGTTTAAATACTGAAGGTTAATTGAGTTTTTGTATATTGATAAGTTCTCCTTAAATCATTTTAAATTTACTCTCAGAAAAAAAAAATTCAACATAAATAGTCGAAGTTACCTTCTCTTAATAAGTTAAATTAAAAAATGATTTACTATTTGAAGATCTAGCTTTATTTAGTATTACACCTCTAACAAATTATGGATTATTTATTTAACCAATAAATAATATATCAACCATCCTTAGTTATCCTATCTATCATATTACTATCATATTTATGGAACCTGTTTAAGATCCTGTATTAGATATTAAAATAGATTAGTAAACTATTTAAAATGAATTTGATGTAAACTTATAAAAATATGAAATGAAAATTAATCTAGGAAATCCTTTTATCTTATCAGAAGAAACTTAAAATAAATTATAATCTGTTATCAAGATGAATGAAGCCGCTATGTATTCTATGACAGGAATCTCAAGCTTAGCTATTATTACAGGAAATACTATTATGTTTGTTAACCTATTAGATTTATTATAATCATTGTCTTATTTAAGATATATGTAATATTAATTTCCATCTCATTTAATAGAATTTTTGGATACCTATACTAAGGTTTCACTCCAACCAATCTTAGATTAATTAAAGATTAATGAATTATTAATTAAATTGAATGGTGGAACTTTACCATTTCAAAATAAAACTAATAAAAAATAAGGCTAATCAAGTCCTTTAAATCAATTCTTTTTGTTGAATGCAAAAAGTTGTTATTTTTCTTTTTTTACTTCAGTAATTGTTTATTTTTTCTATTGCTTTGGAACTTCAAATACTTTAAATGCAATAATTGTTAAATCCTTCAGAAAATATAAAACAAATAGAATTATTCTAAAAATAATAACATTATTTCAAAAATAAGTTTAATAATAAACTTTAAAGTTAAAAAATGAATACTTTTCAAATGGAATTTTTAATGTCTATCAAGCAATTCTTCATCAGTTTGTATTCAGCGCATTATTATAATTCCCAGATTATAATTTTAATTCTCTTTTTTAAATATTAAATAGTGTAAACGCCATATGCAGTTTATTATTTATTATTATTACAAGCTTATAATTATTGGCTATAACATCCACTACTATTAAAGATAAATATAAGTGGAAATATTTTTATAAAGATTCTAAAACGTATTTTTGGGCTGCAAATTGTAAATCATTCTAAATTTATAGAATTATTTTCTATATATTTATTATAGTTAAGTTAATTGACTATCCATAAGTATAATCATTATTACTTTCTATGCAATCATTTTTCTTTTTAATATACTTAATTAAATTTAAACCTTTATAATCACCCTATGATTTGAATAAATTAAAATATAGAGAATTCTTATTTATGCTTATTACAGGATCTTTTTTAATTTACAGTTTTGAATTTAGTTATGATTAACAAATGATGTTTGGATGGATTCACATTGGTATGATTTCATTAATGCTAATTATTAATTTGATAATTGATCTTTTAGAATGGATCAATAAGGTCAAAGCAAACTATTAGAAAGAATAACAGAAAAAGTCATTACAAGAGTTAAACAAATATTACAATAATCCACTTCAAAGACTTGTATTTCATAGATGTAATACTCCAGTTCTGATACAATGATTAATGAGGCTATGAACTTTTTAGTATTTACATTTTTTTAAATTCTTTTAACTTTATAATAAAATCAATCACTAGATAACAAATATACACCAAAATAGATTTTTTTAAATTTCATATATTTTTAAAGGTGTTAATTATAATATTATGGGATATAAATGCAAATACTAAAAAGTCTTTCTTATTCAATTTTAAAAAGAGCTAATTATAATTTTTACATAATCTACTAATTATTATTTATTAAGTATTCTATTTTAAAATAATTTTTTTTGATTTAATATATTGAAACTCTACCAAAATTTTAAATTACATTCTAGGCATTTCAGAATGGAAGTAAATTTTAGCTCTCTTTAATCTTAAATATTAAATATTATAACTCAGAATTACCCTAATTATCCTTTATTTTTAAAAAAAATTAATACTATTATGAAAAAATCAATAGTTTTGATTATGTTATTATTACTCAAAATTTTTTTCTTTATTCTTACTTAATACAAAAAATAAAATTTTTTAATTGGCTTTGTAAACTTTAGGTCTAAATTCTTCTTAAATTTATTTAATTTACAAAAGAATATAATGGTATAAGAAGCTAATAGTAATCATAAAATTATTTCTATAATAGAGTAATAGTAAAATTTTCTATATTTTAATTAGTATCCTTTATCAAAATTCTTAATTGCTGCTTTCATCTTTTACAACATTAATAAAGATAATTTCTTCTTTTGTATCGATTAGAATGTTCTAATATTTGAATACATTCTTCTAAATTTTGTATTAAGCATTGATAAAAGGAGGGGTAATTCAATATATTCGTCAATTCAAAGTAATCTTTTTCAACTCATCTACATTGTCTCATTATGTTTATTTCTTAACATTAAAATTTTTTTTTTTTTTTAAAAGTATAGATATTTTATTTGAAATAAAAATCCTTTTTGATATGGTAATAAGCTATCAAAATTAAGTAAGGTTATTTAAGAGGCTCACATTTTATATAATATAAATAATTAAAACAAGTGATTATTCAACATTTATTACAATTATATTATTTCTATATATAATTATATTTTATGGCAAATAATAACAAGTTATGTGTTAAATAATAATTATAAAAACATGATGAATTAAAATAAAGTATTACTTTTAAAAAATTAAAATTTCTAATAAAAAATTGAATAAAAAAGTATAACATAATTCTATAATCAGTCAAATTTATAGAATGAGGATATTTATTTAGTTTTAGTTTTAATGATATATGGGATATTAGAATTAAATTAAAAATGTTCTAAATCAAAAGGTTAATTATTGGGAATGATAATTTAAAAAATGATGCTATTAGTATTAGATTGATTTTTATCCTGATATTGATCGTAATTTATAATCTAATAGCAATCGATTAATGATTTAAAATAATTTAATAAACAATAAATAATATAAATACTTTAAATTTATTTAGATTTAATAAAATATATTACAATTTGATTAAACTGAATTATTTATTTTTTTAATAAATATTGAAATAAAATACATTAAAAGAAATGAATATTTAATTTAAAATAAAGCTCAAAATTTAAAATTAAAGATAATGTGAAAATTATAAAGAAAACTATTCTTTAAAATAAGGCAATTAATTTAATAAAAATACCACATCACATAATTACATATTATTGGAGTAGTTCGTCTAATTTTTCATTTTCGATAAAAAAATAGATCAATTAATTAATTGGGTTAAGTATTATATTTCTTATTTGAACTGTGACATACTTAGTAATAATTATCCTAAAAAATATCATTACAGGATCCAAAATGACAAATTGTAAAAAGATTGACAAAGTTAAGATTAGCGAGATATCTAAATTCAATTAATGGTAATCTCCCTTACTATTTTAATTAATTTAATATTTACTATTTTCTTAATAAAATGATAAAGAATATATAGCATACTATATGGATAATTAAATAAACTCCTACAATAAATTTGCTTAATTTTCCTCTAAATCTGTAAAATGACTAAAATATTTTACAAATAATTCTAATAAGTAAATAAAATACGCAGTTGACAAATAAAGCAGCCAATATCGCAACTTTCTATATATATAATATTTCCAAAAAAGATAAAGGGATAAGTAGACTAATTTTGATTGATAATTATAAAAATCGAAAACTTTTAGTAACAATAAAACTTTCTATATAAAATATGGAGATTATTTCATGTAAATGCTATATTTTAATAAAATAGTTTACTTTAAAAATCATCTTATAAATAGCAAAGCTTCCTGGATAAAATAATAATTTTTATTTTCCCAAAGTTGGAATATCATCGTTTGTGCTTTCCAAAATTATTCCATGGTTTATAAAGTTATATGCAACTTTTGTCTCGATGCAATTTAGTTCAATGTATAGAAAAAAAGAAAAAATAATAAAGATGCCATGAAATAATAGGATAGGTTATTCGTTTATTTTTAAATCAAAATCCTCCATTTTATCATCTAAATTTTATTACTTAATAGTTTATTCCTCATATGAATTATTAGTATATCTTACAAGAAAGATATCACCAAACTAGAGACATTTACATGAAATTGAAACAGTTATATTATCAATCTCTTCTACTTACAAATCACAAAGAAAGTATTCTCCAAATGAATTTATCTCAACACAATAATAATAATTTAACAGCTACTCTGGTACTTCTTCTTAACAATATTAATATTAAGCGATATCAACTATATATTTTTATTCAATATTTTAGTATTCTATGAAACGATTATCATAAAGGTGGTTTTTCAAATTGGTTTTCCTAAGAAAATTTTATTCTATTAATAAGTTTGAAGTATTAAGGAATTAGGATAATTTAGACGATATATTTTATTAGAGGATATAATAATTATAATTGAGACTTATTTATTATTTTTGCACAAAATCTATTAACCCATCTAATAGATCCTTATCTATATTAAATTAATTATTAAAATTATCCTTTGTTTGTTTGCTTATTTAAAAATTTAATATTTAACCATTAACAGTAAAAGTAGGACCATTAACCTCTATTTAATCATTAAATTAAAAAGCAATATTTTCGATTAGCCTGATTAATTCCTCAGCGATGTAGATAATTTATTTAGAATCCTCATCAGATTAAATAAAGACAGTTGAAATTTTAACAAAAATATCGTCAATCATGAGTAATAAAATAGGTAGTGATTATGCAACTGACTCCTTTTTTTAAAATAATTTTTCATCGTAAAAGATATCATCCTAATTTAATTCACTATTAAATTAAGTTTATTTTTAAATTAACTTTTTTGAAACAAGTTTAATTTATTATAATTCAGATATTAAGCCAGTTGCAGTATCAGTTAAAGTATTATTAAATGTGGAGTTTTATATGTAAAAACTTTTCGTAGAATTTTGAAAGCATCTTTCTTAATAATCCATGGTCATAAGTCTATTATTTGATTTTGTGACTTTTTCATTGAGTATAAATCTCTTATAAAGTTTTACTACTTAATAAACTAAAAATTAATCATTTAAATCTTCAGCTCCTAAATTAGATTTAATGTTGGAATATAATTATTTCGATATAGAATTGCAATATTTTAATTATTAATGATTCAATAATATTTCTATCAACATTGCAATTTATTGTTTATAAGGTAATTTGTTTATGTTTATATCTGAACATTTAAATTATGCTTATGTAATATTAATTTGTTTTACAATATTTGAATAAGATCCTCGAGAATCTATTACTTAAATCAAAATATGCGCTTAAGAGAATGGAAAAAAACCTTCAAAAGTATTTGAAGTTTGATATCCATTTAATAATAATGAATAATCTGAAGTTCGATCCATAAAATCTAAATAATCTTGATTGTTAATGAAATATCTCAATTAATACATAAAAGGAGAAGCATTAGAAAAATCACATTGTGTGATTATCTTAAATGGCTACAAGGCTACAATAGTTTCTGATTAAATTTATACAATGCAAGTTGGAGGCAAATTAACTGTTAATTGTAAATCCTCTTGACTAGGTATAATTTCATTAGTGAATTATGCCAAGAATTTCAGGTTAATTTATTTTCCTTTATCAAATTTCGTATGATAGTCAAATATTCTAAAATGGTATTAAAAATACGAAGATTTTAGAATCTTAATAAGTTAAAAGTTGTATATAATAGCAACTTGATATTCTAATAGATATTATCTATCTTCAAAAGGAATTTGAATTGTAAATTTTAGATTTTCATAATTATTGATTGAACGCATAATATATCCTTTATTGTATGTGATATCTAATAATTTAAAATCATTGTCTAAATAAACTATATTTTATTTAAAAGTATATTTGTATTGTTTTTTTTAAGCAGTTACCTACCAACTTTGAATTGTATAAGGTGGGATAGTTTACTTTGAAATAGTTTGGATGCTTTGAGTTTTGTTAATTTTGATTAATTGTTTATTTAAGTCTCTACAAAGTGAATTCATTGTTAAATCAACACAAGTAATATTTAGTGAAATAGATGGATCTTCATTCCATCCATATTGTGTATCAAGATCTCTGCATGAAATTAATATATTAGAATCTTTTCTATAATTTTAAATCTTTTTTGTTCCATTAAACTAACAAAAAATACCTCCTGCATTGATTTCAAGTGTAATATTTCTTGTTAATGAAAAGTTCAACAGAGCATCAAAAGTGTTTTAAGAGAATACATATGCAACTCTTGATGTTAGAGTATAATTTTAAATTGTCACATTAAATGAATTTTAATTAGTAATTTCAGAGTATTTAACTCTTGATGGTCTAGAATTGGATTCATTTCTATAAACTTCAACTAAAGATACTTAATATTAAGAGTTATCGATTTAGGGAATGGTTGTTGTTTCTGAACAATCTTTTTTTTTTATTTAAAATTGTAATACAATAGTTTCAAAAGCATAATAATAAGGTTTTGAAATCCAACGAATAGTTGGAAATTATCCAGAATGAGTTTAAACTTATATTAATTGAATGGATTTTTATTAAACAAAATTTTGAAATTCTACAAAGAAAGTTATGTTAGATTATTTAGGCAATGTTTATAATGGGATAGAAAGTTCTAAGTTTTAGAGATTAGTTAATGAATTTACAAAACTTTCAAGATTCCCATTTCCATTTTATCCATCTACTGAAAAAGTCCATCTAATTCCTATTAATTATCTGAGACCATCAAAAATAATAGATTTGATAGGAATAGTATTATCATCACAAGGATTTAAAAAATAGGTAGGCAAATCATAAAAGATTTTAGGAGAAACCGGATTAATAGGAATTTTAACTTAATTAAGGATGAATATATCTATTTTTTAGACACAATTTAGATGTCCAAAATATTATCCATAAAATATTATTTAATCTCCTGGTATAATCGAAACCTATTATCCTACTTCTATGATTAATATCATAGAGTCGTTATGATCTAAAAAACAATTTGGACTTTTTCCCAATTTTAAGTATGTTTATTCATCTAGTATTTAAAAGCAAATATTATCTTGAAATTAAGAAGTGAAAAAGCTGGGGTTTAATGGAAAATCAAATTTAACTGAAATTGAAAGTAAATCATCAGAGAATCTAGCATCAATCACTGCTACATTACAAGCTATTAATAAATTAAAAGTATATAATTACTTGAACACCAAGGAGTTTCAGTATGAATTACAGAATGTGGTGGTTCTTCACAAGCCATTTCAGATGTTAAAACTCTATTTCCAATGCAAGAAAGACAACCATCAATATTACAAGTCTTGCATAATCGATCACAAACTTAACAAGAATCATTTTTAAAATCATCATAAAATCCATCAGGGCAAGAACACGATGGAATAATTTAACGATCTCCTTTGCAAATTAAACAATTCAAAGAAGATAATGAACATGTTTTACATTAAAAACTACATTCTTAAAGTATTTAACAAAAAATACATAGACATAAAGGTTATCCTCCTTCAAAATATCCATCTTCACAAAGACATTTTTATGTATATCTTCCCTCTTTACAAGTTAAACAATTAGAACTAGTCTTTTCACAAGTATTACATTAATTTTCACAAACTAAAATATTACTAAAGATATAATTACCTTCACAATTAAAAGATTAATTTTCATAAAAACCTGCTTTACAATTGCAAACAGGAGGGTTTTCTCTCAAGTTTATAGAACAAATTTAACAATTTGTTGAAGATTATGAGCAAAGTTTACATCGAACACTGCAATTCTAACAATCAAGTTAAAGATCATCATCATAATATCCTTCTTTGCAATTACAATTTTTAGAGATACTAAGTCTGTTTGAAGTTTTGGATATTGAACAACTTAGACAGCTATCTTTATATAAAGAACATGACGAACATTTTAAACTACATTCTAATTATTATTGAAATTAATACTTTAACAAACTTCATTTTCATCTGAAAAGAATCCGGTTGAGCAAGGACATTTTTTAATTGCTGAGAGATCAACTCTATTTTGATTAATATCACAACTGGTACAATAATCTTTTTTACCTGAACATGTGAGACAAGAATTCGAACATTCTTAAAATATCATTAATAAATACTTTCACATAATGGAAAACCATTATCATAGTATCCTGACTTACAGATACATTAATTAGAACTTAAATATCTAAATTACTCTATTTCATAACAAGAGTAACATTTAGTAGAACTAATTTAACATGTTTTACATAATTTATTGCATAATAAACACATTTCTATTCCAACATCATAATAGCCATCCAAACAGATACATGCATTTGAATTATTTAGGATTCGATAATAAATTGCTTCACATGTTTTACATTTAGTTGCTTAATTGATGCAAGTTTTACAAGTTATATTACATACTATTTTTTACAACAAATTTGATACATGAACATTTCCTTTAATTCACTTCATAATATCCATCTTTACATAGACATTGTAAGTTTTCTGAATCTAAGTGTCTAGTTATAGGTTCGCATTCATTACACTAAGTAAGATTTTTGCATTCTTTACATGTGATATTACAAGCTAATTTAAAATAATAATGAACATTTACCTTCACAAATTCTAGAAGTTGAATTTAAGAAAAAACCTGATGAGCATATGCATTTATTTTAGAGATCCAGACTAAGATTCATTTTTGAATCACAAGATTAACAATTTTTCGATGTAATCTAACAAGTTAAACAAGAAAAATCGCATTGTTTACAAACAAAAGTCACTAAATCTTCATAATAACCATCTTAGCAAATGCATATGTTTCCTGTTTTAAAGATTCGATATTTATCTGTTGAACAGGATGTACAATAATTTTCTTTATTTATACATGTCTAACAAGTAGAATTACAAAGCTAACATTCTTTATCAACACCTGTTTCATAAGTGCCTTCAATACATTAACATTTAGTATTTATAAGTAATTTTAAAGCTTTACAGGATGAACAATTACTAATAGTATTTATACATGTTAAACAGGTAATATCACAAAATTAACATACACCATTTATATCTGTAGTTCCATTCATACAAATACAAGTTTGAGTTTTATTATCAAATACTTTCAATAATGTGGAATCACATTCAATACAATTTTTGGGACTTAATTTACAATTTACACAATTAGAATCACATTTGCTACATAATTCAAGCATTTGATCAAAATAACCTGTATCACAGATACATTTATTTGTTTCTAAATGTCTAGTAGATGTGCAAGAAGTACAATAATCAGCTGCATTTTAACATGTTTAACAAAAAATTGAGCATTTTTTACAATTTGTTGAGTTTCCATCATCATAATATCCAAACAAACATTGACATATATTACCATTAATGACTCTAAATGATATAGTTTTATCTAAACAAGATTTACAAGATTAAGATCCAAATGAATTACATGTTGAACAAGAATAATGACATTTCTAACAAATTTCTATACCAGAATCATAATAATTATTAAAACAATTGCAAGAAAATAGTAAATTATTGAATTCTCTATTAGATGTTAAACCACATGAGTCACATTTGGTTGAAAATGAACTACATTTAAAACAAGAATAATGGCATTCTAATATTAGAAAGATTTATACTCGAACAGATAGAATTAACCCCATCATCAAAATATCCATTTTGGCAGATACATTTTTGATTATTTAAAGTTCTAAAACTTGATGGATAACAAGTTAAACATGCAGTATCTAAAATTGCACAAGTTTCACAACTATAATTACATTCTATTAAAAATGAATTAATAATTACATAAACACTTAGGTTTTCCAACATCAAAATAATGAGGAGCACAAAGACAACTAAAATTTTGTAAATATCTATTTTCACTATCTAGACAGGTTGTACATTTATTTGATGTTGAACCATTGCAATTTAAACAAGAATAATGACAATCTAAATAATTAAAAATAATACTTTAACAAATAGGATTACTAAGATTTTAATAAGTACTAATTAGAGCTCCTGATAATTTATTTTAACATAAACAAGTGTTTCCCTGTAAATAACGATCTGTTTTACAAGAAAGACAATTATCTGGAGTAGTATTACAATTTAAACAGTAAGGACTACATTCTAGAAAGTAAAATAATTAATTACATTGGCATTCTAATTATCCAGAATCATAATAATTGGTTTTACATAAACATTCGAATAGATCATTTAATATTCTGTTGATTTAAGTATTACAAGTTAAGCATTAATTAGATAATGATCCATTGCATGTTAAACATGTTTAATGACAGGCTAAAGATAATAGTTAAGTATACTTATGCATATAGGATTATTAGGTTAATCATACGATTTAAGTGGACAAGCACAAGATTAATTAGTACCAAGTTCTCGATTGGATAAAGGAGGACATGATATACAAGTTTCAGTTGTCAGAATACAGTTGTTACATCGATATGAACATTCTATTTAATTGTTTTTAAATTAATACTATGGCACATTGGATCACCAATTGTAATTTCAATGTATTGATCATTACATAAACATTAATTAGCCTTGACAAATCTATTGTTAGTGGTTGCGCATGAAATGCAATTATTAGCTAAAGGGCCAAAACAAGTCATACAAGTATAATGACAAGCTTTTAGAATTAATATATTGATTTACGTGAACATTGCATTTAACCTACATCATAGTATCCATAAGGACAAATACATTTGAACATGACTAATTGTCTATAAGTGGTATCACAAGTTAAACAATTATTATCATAGATTCCATTACATGTTTTACAAGTGGAATGACATTATTAACATTCTAATTAGAAACCATCACTAAAATAATGAGTATCTTTGCATAGACATTTAAAAGTTGATCCTACTCTATCTGGTTATCTAGTAGATGGACAACTTGTACATTAATCTATTCCTGATATATCACAATCAGCACAAGTATGATCACATATAACTAAGTCAATTAGAATTATATTTACATTAACATATAGGATTTTATATTCCAAATTCAACATATGCCTTATTACATGAACATAAATTATTTAATGTCAAATGACGATTATGTAATGATGAGCAAGAAGTGCAGTCAGTTGATAAAGAACCTTTACAATTCTCACATGAATAATGGCATTCTCAAGATATATAAAAAAACATTTACAAACACATAAATCTGAGATTCCATCTTCACCATATCCAGATTTACAAATACATTTAAGATCATCTGACACTTATCTATTCTATCCTGCTATACACATTGTGCAATATTAATTAATTGTATCATCTTTTGGTTTATAACACTTTTCACATCTTTGATGGCATGCTTGGATATAATTAATAATTTTACGTAAACATTTTACTGTCTTATCAGGTAATACTACCTAAATATTTCTTGCAATGCATTGACATTATCCATCAACCAATTGCTTATTAGTAATATTTGGATCTCCACAATAAGTGCAATCCTAATTTGTTGTTCCTTCACATTCTTAACATGATGAATGACATTCTTAATTTATTTAATATGATTATACTTTAACACCATTTATCCTCTATTCCACTATTATAATATCCATCATCACATTCTAATAATTTATTATATCATTATATACTTAAACAACTTTCCTCTGTACACCAAGCACAATTCTAAGGACATAATATATAATAAAAAATAGATAGATCTCTTAATCCAAAAGATTCATCAGTTAAAATATCATCTAAAGTTGTCGTAAATTCCAATTCCACTTAATCCCTTGTATGATCCAATATTATATCGACTCTAAAAAATAATTATGTATTCCAAATCTCTGGTTATTCATTACATAAACTATAATAATAACCCTCATAATAATTAAATTGCCTTTCCCAAACTAATACATTATCTACTTTCAATCTAGCGAATTCATCATCCCATGAATCTAACACAACAAACAAAAATCTGATTTTTAATTTCGTATGATTTGGAATATTTGTTAAACTTTTACTTATTGTTGTTTCATTTCCAGTTTTAGCTTATCCCCCAAACAAACTAACAGCTAAAAAGTTTATATCAATCAAATACCTCCACATTACGTAGCTTCTGCAGTTCCAGAACTAACATCCCAACCATCTTATGTTAGTTCATCAATATTTAATTATTCCCAACTTTTAGAAAATGATATCCAAAATGAGCATTGCATTGCAGTTTCTCCTTCTTAACAAACTAAGCATCCTTATGGACATTGCTCAATAGCCAAAACAAAATCTTTAAATCCCCATGATTCCTATATAAATTAATTATGAATATTTACATTATCAGCCCAATCATCCAAGGTACTTGTGATAACAACTATTGCAGTTGAGCCACTATGGTTGATGATTAAATCTAAATCAACTGGTTGTTCTTTCCAATCTGCTTCTGTACCACATATTTATGTTCCATCTTAATATTAAAATTATTGTTGCCAAACTAACACTTAATCAACATAAATATATGCGAATTCATTATCAAATGAATCAATTCTAGTCATATCTCATTTATTTTTACTTCCAAAATTGCATCTTCAGATTTAATTTATAATGTGGTGGAAGAGAGAAGATTTTACTAGCACTAACACCATATCCGAAAGCATTTTAGCCTCCAAATAATCTATTATCCATACAATTCGTAATTTAAGGCTCTGCTCCGCTTACAATCCAGCCTATCATTGATAAACAACATATACTGTCTGAATCTGTAAAGCTATTCCCTTAGAATGATGAGGATATAACTTCGAAAATCCCATATACTTCAGCCATTTTCAATATCATAACAACTAATTTAAAGATTGACCTCGACATTTAATATTAATTAATTGTTTATGTTAATACCGGACACTTTTAATACAGAATATTTAATTGAAAGTTAAATAAATAGCTATTCATCGTCGTGCAAGAGATTGCTGAAAGTCATTCGGTTTTCTCTAAAATTAATAGCATCCTCCTAATTAGATATTGAATAGACTTTATAAATATTCATCTTTACATCTGCATTACACAACCTATTATTAATTTTATATAATTGCGTTACAAATCAAAAACATACTTACAGATAATTTGCACCACAAAATGATATTACAAGCATTGAAAAAATTCAAAGCAGATATCATATCAATCTCAAAATTACAATTAAAGAATGTTTTAACAAATACGATTATAATATACCGATTATAAAAAAGCATGTTAAAAGTAAAGCCTTTATTTAATATAAATATTTTTAATATTATTTTATTAATTGTGATCAAAACATAAAGAATATATTATATAATTTTAGTAATCCAGAATACTTAATTTATATAACTCACAAATCATTAATAATATTATGGTCTTAAATTTCAGTTAAATATTAATATTGACTATTGAAAATCAAAAAAAAAAATTATCTTTCAGTAACAAAATGGAATAGCTTTAAATAAATAATTTTTTTTAAATATTCAACCTAAAAACATTAAAAAAAATTAATCAATTATATTATATTGTATTATATTATATTATATTATATTATATTATAAAATTCATTATTTAATAGATTTACAATC